ACGGCCCGTAAGGGAAGTAAGTCCTGGATGATTCCCGGGCGGGCATCCAGGTCATTATCCCACAGAGCAGCCTTCCTTCCCCCTATTACTACCTTCGTCCCTATTACCAGCATACAATGAACAATCACAAATCGATTTGTCTGGGCTGCCTGTTCTGAATCCAAATGAAAAGTTCAAATACAGCGTTTGTTTAATATTCCTAGACTTTTATCGCAAGTTCATTTTTGGGACTCACAAAGGGGATATTTCTCAAGCCTTCTTCTACATCCCCATTTAACTTTTTTTTGGGGGGAGGGTGGGGGCCACACCCAGCACTAAATGCTCAGGGGTTACTCCTGGCTTGGCGCTCAGGAAAGACTCCTGATGGTGCTTTCCGCCCAAGCATATGGGATGCTGGAATTGAACCTGGGTTGGCAAGTGCCCTACCTGCTGTACTGTCAGTCCAGCCCCACCCCCATTCCTTTTAGGTTGGACTTTAACATTGTAGTAAGAGGCTTGATGAATCTGAGATTGTGTTAGTTAGCAGCTAGTCACAGAAGACCCCAGAGTTTAGTCATTTAAAATAATGCTGAGATACTAGATCCCCTTTCTGAGGGCCTGAGGGTCAGGAATTTCAGTAATGGCCTAGTGGGTGACTGTGACTTAGGGTCTCCCATGGTATGACATTAAAGTCAACCCCATGGTCCTCAGTGGACTATGAAGCCACCTGCTAGCTTCACCCACTGCCCTTCTGTGGGAAGCAGCGGTTCCAACTTGCAAGATCCGCATAGCCTGCTTCCCCCAGGGGTGCAAAGTGTGTGTGTGTGTGTGCGTGTGTGTGTATGAGAGAGAGAGAAAGAGAGAGACAGAGAGAGTCAGACAGACAGAGGAGAGAAAGAAGGAGAGGGGAGAGAGGGAGAAAGGAAGGAAGAGAAGGAGGGAGAGGAGAGGAACAAAGGGAGAGATGAGAGAAAGAGGAATGCGGAAACGTTTCTTGTAACAATCACAAAAGTGACATCATGGTGGGTGAGTGTGCATGTATGCATGAGTGTGGGGGTGAATATGAGGGTGAGTATATGTGAGGGGCTCCCCAGTGTCCTGGGTACTGGGAGGCGAGGGTGGGGGACACACGAAAGCCCTCTGACAGGAATGACCATTCACAGTCCAGTAGTCCTCCTCAGGGGCCAGTAGTGGATGCCTGAAGCCTCACTTAGCCTGGGCCCCAGGTGGGCAGCCCTTCCTGTACTTGCATCCCTGTGACCAACCCAGGTTATCCATCAGGCCCGGAAGAGGTGACCAGCAGCCATGGACCCGACAGCTCTAGCCCTTGTCCCATCATGAGGGGCTGGGCCTGGGCTTTCTCTCAATGATCTTGTGCGGATGTTTTCGACCATGGGTGAGCGTAACCCAACCTTGAAAAGTGAAAGCGCAGCTCCCAGGGGTGCGGTTTCTCTGAAGCTGAGTGACACCCTCCTACCCCACTCCGGCCCTGGGGTTGTTGTCAGTGAAGTTTTGCTCTTCTTTTTTCGGCAGGGGGGTGGATTTTGGGATCACGCCCAGCTGTGATCAAGGCTTACTCTTGGCTCTGTGCTCAGGGGATGATACGAGGTGCCAGGAATAAGACTGGGGTTGGGTCTCCCCTGCAAGCCCCCCTCCCCAACCTCCATGTGGGCCCTCTAGGAAGGAGGTTGCAGAGTGAAGAGCCCACAAGCTTGTCTCCTGCTGCAGTTTTTTTTGTTAGTTTGCTTGCTGTTTGGGTCACACCTGGCAATTCAGGTATTACTCCTGGCGGTGCTCAGGGGACCATATGGGATGCCGGGAATCGAACCCAGGTCGGCTACGTGCAAGGCAAACGCCCTACCCACTGTGCTATTGCTCCAGCCCCACCTGCTGCAGTTCTTAGCACTGCACCTGCCAGAGTCTACCAGACTCTCCAGGCCAACAAGGGTGCCAGGGTTGAGCAGTGTCGTCAAACCCTGCTCTAGCTTAGTGATCCTGAGACAAGTGTCTTCACGCCTTCTCTGGGGGTGGGTGCGCGGCCCCCATGCAGACCCCTGGCCCACCAACACTGGACCTCCAAGGCAGTTTTGGGGGTCAGTCATTCGACCTTCTCCTAGTCCTCTTAATGAGCTTACTCTTTAGGTTACATAATAGAGAATTGTCCCCGCGGTGGTTCCCTCCCAAGAAGAACAAGAAACCACTTGTGCCCTCTTCCACATTTTCCCTTTGTCCACACACAAGTAGTCATCATAAAAGTGGTAAATTCAGTAAGAGTTCGCTGTGCAAGCTGTTGCCCAGGTCGCCTTTTCATTCTGTCTGCGGATGACACACAGGCGGGAGCAGATGGATGGGCCGGATCCCTTGTGACCCTGCCATGCTTCCTCCTGGGCGCCCTCCACGCCCTCGGAGAAGGATATTTAGGTGATTTCCAGCCGCTTGCACAACAGCAGCGTTCGCGTGCGTGCAGCCCGGGAGCCTCGCTGACGCTCTGCACATCGCAGCCGCTCCTGAAGGGCGAAAACAAAAATAAAACGGGGCAAAGGCGCCGGGAATCCGCCTCTGAGGTCCCCCAGGGCGCTGTGTCTTGATTTGAGTTAGATGCTCTCTGGGCTGGAACCGCTCCGCGTTGGCTAGCGGCAGCCCACAGCGTCCCGGTCCCGCAGTGCAGGGGGTTGGGAGGAGCGTTTTCCCCCACCCGCCTCTGTCTAGGTCTGAGACACTCGGGGCTGGATGCGCTCAGGGCCCGCCCGCAGCTTCCCCGCTCCTTGCGGCGCCCCGCATCGACCGCCAGGGGGCGCCCCGCCCCGCCCCGCCACCTGGCCGCCTCCACCCGGGAACGCGGAGCCGCGGGCGACCGCCAGGGGGCGCTGTGTGTGTGTGTGTGTGTGTGTGTGTGTGTGTGTGTGTGTGTGTGTGTGTGTGTGTGTGTGTGTGTGTGTGTGTGTGTGTACTGCCACTGCCGTGTTCTCCTGGAATGCAGTCACTACCTCCTGCACCACTTACCACACTTACCAGGGACTGCTATAGGGCACCTCCCCCCAGAAAGATCCTCCTTGGAATCCTCAACCCACTTCTTGGGTTGGGGGGCAGTGTCGTTCTCCTCTAGCCGTGACCCCTCCCCCCTTCCCTCAAGTGTCTTCAATAAGGACTACATGTGTCATCCTGTCAGAGGGTTGGACCTAATGCCCAGATCCGGCTGCTCTGTGCACAGTGCTCTCACGGGCTGCAGCTTCGCTTGGACACCTGGCAAGGAATAAGGATGTGGCCGGCAGGTCAGACTGTTGGGGGATGGGATCTGAGGTGGGGACTGGACACATGCAGCTCCCACCTGCCACAAGCGCTGTGCTGGAGGCCAGAGGAACAGGGAGCCCTGTGAGAAGATGAGGGCGGCAGGATGTCATGAGGGGAGCACTGGAAAGGCCCACAGAGGAGAGCAGAGAGCCCAGGGCCATCCTGGGCAGAGACTCCGAGGTGCGCCAAGGTGGCTGGGCCCACCAAGGTGCTAAGATCAGCTCCAGGAGCTCCCTTCTCTTGACCTTGCACCCCTCTGGGATGCAGTGCCCTTCGCTCCCGTCTCATCTCTGTTATGGAGAAACTGGCCAACCCTGTTTGTTTCCCCCTGTAGGGCTCCGTTCCCAAACCAGCAGACGGTGCCCAGTTCCCGACTGCCAGGGCCTGTGAAACTGGAAAACTGGGTAGAGACTTTGCGTGGCCATTGACCAGACTTGGCAACTCACCTCCTTCCAAGCCCACTGTTGTCGTCCCAACAGAAGGGAAGGCCGGCATCTCTGTGTCCAGGTGGCGGAGCTGAAAGGGAGGTGTCCGCTCGGCAGAAGCAGCAGCTGGCGTGGTCCAGGTTGTTTTAGAGTCGGGGCACACAGAAGCAGCGGTTTCTCTCTTTCCGGTGATGACCAGACACTTGTGACCAGCCCCGAGGAGATCAGAACCACCCTAAGCACTGGAGGCCCAATGGTCAGCACTGACCTGGCTTTATCTTTTGGTTTTGGGGCCACACTCTGTGGTGCTCAGGGCTTACGTCTGGCAGGGCTTGGGGGGCCATGTGTAGTGCTGGGGACCGAGTCCGGGTCAGCAGCTTGCAAGAAAAAGCCTGACCTGCTCTAACACCTCTCTGGCCTCAGCCTTGTTTGTTTCATTTGATTTTCGGGCCACACTTGGCAGGTGTTCAGAAACTGCTCCCACTCAGTGCTCAGGAGTGCTCACACATTCCAGGTGTGCTCAGGGGACCTCGCGCCCCAGAGCACACACTCTTTCCCGTTCTGTGATTGCCAGGTCCCCCGAAGGGCCTCTATGCAGGGTCAGGGCTGAGCTGGATCCCAGGGGAGAACCCCGTCCCGCTGCCCATCTTCTGGGCCTGCAAAACAGCCGGTCGGAAAGCGCTCTCCTCCCCCAGCTTTGAAAAAATAATGGCGCCTCACAATGCCAAGTGTCCTGGAAAATAAGAAGGCTGTGGCGAGGACGGGGCTGGGCCAGAGGCTGAGGAAGCCTAGAAACTTCTGGCTGACTCCTTCAGCCTGTTTGAAATGGGCTCAAAAGCCATGGAACCAGCAGGCAAAGGCGCCCCTCCTCCTCCTCTTACGGGCTGAGGAGAGATCGGTTCCCACTGGCCCGGGCAGTGTCATCGATATAGCTGGTGTCACTATTACCTTCCACTAGCAGATCACTCGACACCTGTCCGCGCAGCAGGACCTGCCCGGGCAGTGCCACTGACCCTCCTCTGCATTGTCCCAAACCCCAGGGGAGGCCAGGACACAGGCGCCCCCACAGAGGGTACATTTCCCTCTTACCACGGTCCCGTTTCCCCCCACCCCCCCACCCCCACCCCAGGGTCCCTCCTTCCCTGCTGCCCTCCCACCCCGACTGCTGGCCCAGGCAGCGTCTGCTGCAGGAGGAGATGAGCCGACGGCTGCTGGCCGGCAGCCGTGGCCCCGTGGCCATGTCGCAGAGCTTGGAAGGGGCCCCGGTGTGAGGCGCAGGGCAGAGCGCGGGGGCCGGGTGGCACCATGCTGCACCAGATCCTGCAGGACATGTACATCGATCCCGAGCTCCTAGCGGAGCTGAGCGACGTGCAGAAGCACATCCTCTTCTACAAGATGCGGCAGGAGCAGCTGCGGCGCTGGCGGGAGCGCGAGGCGTGGGATGCCCTGGCGGAGGCCGACGGCCTCAGGCCCCCGAAGGTCAAGCGAGGTAACGCGTGTGCCCGGGAGGGGTAGAACCCCGACCTCCTCCCTTGGAGATGGAAGAGGGCTCTTCCCCTTTAAAAAAAAAGGGGGGCTGGGGGCTGAACCTCTTGTTCTATGAGCCTCTGGTTCAGGGCGTCTAAGTTTGATCAGCTCTGGCTGTGTGACCCGTTGCGCAGGGACCCGGGTGGGGTCCGGGAGTGGGCACCTGCTTCTCCAGTGCCCGGGGGCCCTCCTGGTGCGTGCGGGCTCCCGGTCAGCGCCCGCACTGCCTTGCAGCGGGTCCCACCGGGGCACGGGCACCGCTCCTGTCCTTCTCATCCTCGGGTGGCCTCTGGAAAGTGGGTGTCAGGGCATATACCCATGTCACGAGCAACCAGCCCCTCTTGGTAGTGGCACCTGCAGGTGAGAAGCCAGGGTTCAGCCTGGCTCTGCCTGGTTGGAGACTGCCTACCGCATCTCAGACGGGTGCACCGGGGTCCTGAAGGTGGGAATCAACACCGTAGGTCGGTAGTGGAAAAAGATCCCGGAGACTTGTCCTGGGACTCAAGATCCTCCTGGTGGTGGTTCTTTATATGGAGGTTGCACTCTATTTTGGGGGGAAGTCACTTAATATTTATGGTTTGGGCCACACCTGGCTGTACTCAGGGCTCACTCCTGGCTCTGTGCTCACAAAGCACTCTGGAGGTGCTCAGGGAGCCAAGTGGGGTGCCAGGGTTAGGAGTGGGGCCAGCTTCAGGCAAACACCTTAACCCCTGAACTGGATCTCCTGCCCACAGATGCTGCACCCCAGTTTGCAAAGCCATCTCTCGTTCATGCCCTGTTCATTCATTACCCTGTCCTGTGGCCTCATGGTGTTCACACCCAGGTCACATTCAGACGGAATCAGTGAGGCACTTCAGTTCAAGTCCTGTTCCTGGGTTGGTCACACAAGCTGCTTAGTGATTGGCTCCTGCGGGCCATCCCCACACCCATGGGCACATGCCTGCTTGGGCTTCCGCCTCTGTCAGTTTTCCTCTTGACACTCTGGTCTGTCTTCCGCTCTGGACTCGCTGGTCTTTGCAGGATTCTTCTAGCAGCAGGAAGGACTTGCTCTGCAGCTGCCCACTCGGAGGCCCCCTCCTAGCACTTGCCACACTGACATGGTCACCTGAGCCCCAAGGCTGCCTCCAGTATCTGTGTGGTGACTCTTCCCAGATGCCTGAAACTTTAAAAAAAATTATACAAGTTTTATTGGATCACTGTGAGATAAGTTACAAACTTGCATGATTGTGTGTCATTAGAAGAATGCTCGAGACCCATCCCTCCACCAGTGCACCTTTTCCACCAAAATTGTGCCCAGTGTCCTGCCTGCCACCCCCACCCTGCCCCACTCCCTGCCTCTGTGGCAGGTACAGTCTTTCCTACTCTCTAATTTTGAGCATTGTGATTTGCAATACAGACACTAAGAGGTCGTCGTGTTTGGTCCTTGGTCTACTTTCAGCAAACATCTCCCAAGATGGGTGATCCCTCCAGTCATCCCTTACTTAGTGGGTCTCCTCTCTGTCCTAACTGCCTTTCCCCCCAGCTGTGAAACTATTTTTGTGGTGATTTGTCACACATTGATATCCACATTGTCATTGTATAAATTATACATTCAACTCTTTTGGGTCTCTGATGCAGAAGATTTTTTTTCTGTAGATAATTAATTTCCTGATTGATAAAGGATGGAGAGGAGGAGGCAGTGAAGGAGCAATGGGTCTGTGGTGGGTTGAGTCAGGGTCCCGCTTGGGGTTCAGCTGTGTGCTGTAGGCCTGCCTTTTGCGGGGACCCCCTGGGGCTTCCTCCAGCCTGCAAAGAGTTTCTGGCTGTGTGTCTAGCCTGCCCAGCCTGCTTCCTGGCCCAGATCATGGAGAAGGTTTGTCACTGCCTACCCCAGCCCGTCCATGAACACTCTGGTTCCCTCCCTAACTGCTTCTGGAGGCTGGAAATCTGTCTCACACAAGGGACCATGACACAGCAGTGACACAATCCAGCCAAAGTCCCTCTGTGCTCAGAATTGGAGGGGACATACCATGAGATATTGACCTGGGGGATGGGGGTGGTTGGCGTTCTGTTCACTTACTTCTGATCCTCTGCTCAATGTATGACCTGTGCGTGCATGCGTTCTTTCACTCATTCATTCAGTCTGTTGCCTCTTCACTCATTCACGTATTTACTCATTTATCCACTCACTTATGCATCCATTTGTTCATTCACTCGTACACTCACACATCCCATTTATTCATCACTCGGTCATCCACTTACTCACTCACTCACTGCACGCTTTTCCAGTTTGTTTTATTTTGGGCCACATCTGGCCATGGTGGTCAGGGCTTATTCCTGGCTCTGTGCTCAGGGATCATTCCTGGCAGTGCCGGGGATCAACCAGGGCTCAACTGTGCGAAGGCGAGCTCCTTGCCCACTGTCCTCTCTCTCCAGTTTGATCGTCGCAGTTTACAGGCCCTCAGCGTTTGGACAATCCTGAGACACGCATTTGCCTTCACACAGGAGTCAACCGGGCACATGTCCCTCCCAGCCACGCGGGCGTGTCTTCCTCAGTCTCGCTTTATTAAAAAAAAATGGTTTTGTAATAGCTTCCATCTCTTTGCGGGAGTTGGAGCTCGTCAGCCCAGGCTGTTTCTCAGCTGCCGTCTTGCCTGCTGTTCTTTCACATTCGGACAAGATGCGATGTCCGGTGGGAATCCGTGTCACGATGCGGCGCCTCTGGGACTGCGGGACGTCATGTGGAATGACAGCCACGCCTGACAGCCCTGCTGGAGCCTTTGCAGCTCGTCCCCCGAATCCCTTCTTGTCCTCCCTTGAGTCCCCCCTCCCCGCTGCGGGGCCCCACACCTGGCCAGGAGCTGCAGCCTACACGCACCCCCACCCCCACCCCCTTCTCTGCTTGCCCCGTTCCTCCAGGGCCCTGGACTGAGTTAGGCGTTGCCTGGGACATGGGACTCAGGACACACGGACACACTCCCTACTCTTGTGACCCAGAAGTTTTCCTGCCCCTGCAATCAATTCCATCCTGAGGGACAGTTTCTGCCATGGTGATGTCTGGGTCTCTGTGCCCACCCTCTGTGTCACCTGGACGTGCTTTGTCGTCATCTTCCTCCACTTTCCTTTCTGGGTTCTTTTCTGAGGCAGATGCCAGCCACATAGTGGCCCAGCTGGCATGCAGCTGACTGTGCCCCAGGACAGCTCCGTGTCAGGGTGCCCTCCTCTGTTCCCTTATTCCAGACCATGGAAGGCTCCTTCCCCACGGATGCCACGTCCACGGCTTGCCCCACCCCTGCCTGTGCTCTCGCAGGGGCAGCCTTGCCAAGGCTTGAGGAAAATGCCTCCTTCACACCCTTCATGCCAGCGCTGTGCTGTTGACCGCTTGTTGGCGCTGCACTTGGCATCTCCGGCCTTCATGAGGGTGCTGGATGCTGCCCTTGCCCTGGGCATCTGCCTTCTGGGTCTTCGAGGAAGCCTCCAGGCTGCCTGTCCTGTGGTGGCCTGGGCCCTCAGCCTTGGTTCGAGCCCTTTCTGGGCCTGGATGTCCTGACGGGGGTCACCAGCCCCACCTGGAAGTTCTCACTGACCCACAGATGGTATTTCTTCCACAGCCCTGTTCTCCGTGGGCCCCTCAGGGCCGCCCCTCCAGCCCTCTCCCATCTTCCAAAGAACCGTCCAGCTCTCCTCAGCTCTTGCAGCTCCCTGCCTCAGTAGCCCTTACTGCCAGCAAAGAAGACACGAACTTGCCTCCCCCAGCTCGGCGGCTCTCTGTGTGGAGTGCTCTTTCACCTGGGTCCTCAGCAGCCTGCTTCCCTCCCATCTTCCCTCCCATCTTCCTTCCCATCTTTCACTTCTCAGTTATATGCTCACCGGCACCTGCCTGTTCCTGATTTTCACCCATTATCTGCTTTTCTCTCTCTCTCTCTCTCTTTCTTTCTTTCTTTCTTTCTTTCTTTCTTTCTTTCTCTCCCTCCCTTCCTCCCTTCCTTCTTTCTCTCTTTCTTCTCTTTCTCTCCCTCTTCTTCCTTCCTTCCTTCCTTCCTTCCTTCCTTCCTTCCTTCCTTCCTTCCTTCTCTCTCTCTCCCTCCTCCCTCCCTTCATCCCTTCTTTCTTTCTCTCTTTCTCTCCCTCCCTCTCCTTCCTTCCTTCCTTCCTTCCTTCCTTCCTTCCTTCCTTCCTTCCTTCTCTTTCTCTCCCTCCCTCCCTCCCTTCCTCCCTTCTTTCTTTCTCTCTTTCTCTCCCTCCCTCTCCTTCCTTCCTTCCTTCCTTCCTTCCTTCCTTCCTTCCTTCCTTCCCTCCTTCCCTCCTTCCCTCCCTCCTTCCCTTCCTCCCTTCTTTCTTTCTCTCTTTCTCTCCCTCCCTCTCTCCTTCCTTCCTTCCTTCCTTCCTTCCTTCCTTCCTTCCTTCCTTCTTTCTCTCTTTCTTCTCTTTCTCTCCCTCTCCTTCCTTCCTTCCTTCCTTCCTTCCTTCTCTCTCCCTCCCTCCCTCCCTTCCTCCCTTCTTTCTTTCTCTCTTTCTCTCCCTCCCTCCTTCCTTCCTTCCTTCCTTCCTTCCTTCCTTCCTTCCTTCCCTCCTTCCCTCCTTCCCTCCCTCCTTCCCTTCCTCCCTTCTTTCTTTCTCTCTTTCTCTCCCTCCCTCTCTCCTTCCTTCCTTCCTTCCTTCCTTCCTTCCTTCTCTTTCTCTCCCTCCCTCCCTCCCTTCCTCCCTTCTTTCTTTCTCTCTTTCTCTCCCTCCCTCTCCTTCCTTCCTTCCTTCCTTCCTTCCTTCCTTCCTTCCTTCCTTCCTTCCTTCCTTCCCTCCTTCCCTCCTTCCCTCCCTCCTTCCCTTCCTCCCTTCTTTCTTTCTCTCTTTCTCTCCCTCCCTCCTTCCTTCCTTCCTTCCTTCCTTCCTTCCTTCCTTCCTTCCTTCCCTCCCTCCCTCCCTTCCTCCCTTCCTTCTTTCTTTCTCTCTTTCTTCTCTTTCTCTCCCTCTCC